CTCGGGGCATGGGTTAGTAGCTTTATGATGAATATTGGGTTTTGCTCTATCGTGGGAGCATAATTATGGGACTTGTTCCAGGGATTACAGTTAACATGGGATATAGGAGCCGGAGACATTGTGGTGGAAGTTGATAGTCAGAGCATTGTTGCGATGGTCCGACTCGAGGATACTACTGGTCCCCATGGGAATTATTTTGCGAGGTATCAAAGACCTCCTGGGTCGTTTATGGACGATGGAGCTCCATCATGGTTACTATGAAGCGAATTTTACTGCGGATTGTTTGGCGTCCTTGACAGCTAAGGGTCCAGGGGGTTTTGCATAGATTTGACCGTCCTCCGACTGGTGCGGGCTTCTGGTTGCATCACGATCTCGCCGGGGTTTCTCATCAACGGCAGATAGTGATGTAGTGTTTCATAGGCTTTGCCTCCTTTTTTATACAAAAAAAAAAAAGATTATTTTTTCATTTCTTATATTTTCTCTTCACTTTTGCTCGTCGTCGTTGTATCCACTCCATTCTTCTTCAATTTCATCTCCTTTGGTTTGAATTTCATCATCACCACGAAAATTGGGATCACGTGTGCTATCTTTTTTTTATTTTTATTTTTTTTTTTTGTGAATTTGTGAATCTTTCTTTTAAGTTGTTATGAATATCACCAAGATCGGAATGAAAATCGTCTGAATCGGGGGTGGAATCGACCGCTTCGAGATAAATATGTTTAAACTAATTGTTGATATGTGAATTTGTATCAACGATTAACCAAGAATTCCGAATGAATTGAGAAGATAAAATCATGGCGAAAGTATGAAATTTGGATTTGAGATAGGTCGGCATCTGAGATTTCGAGCTTGAGGGATCGGTTGTTCATTCTCAAGGTTGGTCTCTAGGAGCATCAGTTGTTTGCTCTGATATTTCATTAAGAGTGTTAAGTTCCGTGTTTATATCTTTCAACTCGAATGCGGAACATTATAGTATTTAAGGTTAATTGCCAAAAAAATTACGACATTTTGTTAAATTGTAAATAAATCTCAATGTTTTAGTTTTGCAAATAAATCTCAACCTTAACTAACTATTGCAATTTTATCTCAATTTTGAACTCCGGCCATCTGCCGCCACCTGCCACCGTCCAACCTCGCCGGAATTGAAAACTTTTTACGTCATCGTGTAGCTCTCCTTCCGGGCAACAACATATTCGAAGTTCGTGTAAAAATTACGACAATAAGTGGTCCAATTTTCTGGTAAAAGCAAGTAGACCGCCGCCCGTCTCCGGCAAAATTGGATCCCTTATTGTCGTAATTTTTACACGAACTTCAGATAAAAAACTAATGATAAAATAATAAATGAGATGCTAGAGTCCGGCTACGGTATCATTCCGTCGGTGTTTGTAACTGTTAGATCAATTATCCCCAACAGTTACATGATTATTTAAGAGTACAAATTCCAACAAAATGGTTCCGTAACGGGACTGTAACATTTTCCTAAATGATTAAATGAAAATTCTCCCCTCCGACTTGAACCACAAAAATAAATGACACGGTAGAATAGAAATGAAGTTTTTGATAAAGGAAGGAAAAATAGAAAAAAACACTAGAAAAATCAATGAAATCATATTAGCAACAAAGAATTTTCGTTTTTAATTACAACTAGCTATGGCAGGGGTAAGCATGGCTTCTTCTAGTGTTACTCCCGTCGCGCCTTGCGGCGGCCGCAGAGAAGCTGTTATCGTCAGAGCTCCGGTTTTCAGAACCTCGTTCCTTGGCCGTGGAGGTAAAATAACTCGGCACCTACTCTTAGATTGAGCTCGTGGTTTCATCATTTATTATTTGTCAGGGTTTGAGTTTCGAAAATTAGTGGGATTTTCTTTTCTTCTTAACTGCCTGATGGATAACTGTGAGATGGAATTGATGGTCTAAGGCGAGGTCCCATATTTTAGTGAGGATGTATTATCCAGTGAATTTGTTATTGGTAATGTGGCTTGTGCCATTTTCAATCGGGGGAGAAAGGAATTAAGTTTTCGTGTTTGATTATGGATTGTCAAATTTTATGAGCATTTAAGCTGGTGCTTAAAGTGTATTATGGCAGACGATTTGTGAGTTAGGGTGTATAGTGCCTGCTGTATAAGTGCATGGATATGGATATTGGATAGAAAGAAATAAAGATAAAGTTTGGTGCTGATTATGGGTAGTTGGAGAGAATATCGATCATATCTATGCCTGATTGGATAAAACGAGGCCTTGTTTATACTTATTGTAAGTCTATAACCATGCGCTGCGTTTCCTGTTGTTCATGATGCGTTCTTTTTCAAATTTACTAGTAGATTGTCTTGTATTCCATGAACTTGGAGGACTGATTGTTCCCAGACATCACCAACAGTGAAATTTGCTTGCTGCTTTGATGTGTGCAGTCACATGTAAATTTACATGCTTTTTGTTACTTGCTGCTGCAATAATTATATGCAGATCCTGCTGTCATGGTATCTTTAACCAGAACCTGATTAGACAGATAAATGGATATTCAACTATCAATCCTGGATTATTTAGTTATTTGTTTATTTATTTATTTATTTATGTGACCTAATAATATATATGCGGCTGTAAATGCTTGTTATGGTTCGTAATTTCTACTCGTGATTGTCAATCTGCTATATTGCTGTATACTGATTGAAGGTTGTAAACTTCTTTCATATGTGTTGGGGCCCCTTCATTTTATTTTATTTTTCCCCTCTGCAGTTGGCACTTCAAGATATATGGATATACAGCTAATATGTTCTGGGAGATCCAGATCTAACCGTCGTGGAGGGGCTTTTGGTGTTCGAATGAGCCTATTTGATAGGTTTGCTAGAGTGGTTAAGGTAATATACATTCATTATACTCTGTTTCTGTATTGAAGGCCTCGTTGAGACATCACTGAAATGTAAGTTTTTTCTTTTCTTAAGTGTAGTCATATGCAAATGCGCTGATAAGCACGTTTGAGGACCCGGAGAAAATATTGGATCAAGCTGTTCTTGAAATGAACGAGGATTTGATCAAGTTACGTCAAGCTACAGCCAGAGTATGTGTTTTCATCACTCCCCTTTTACATTTTCTGTCTTGTTCCTTTATGTGGGAATATCACCTGTCGAGGATACTGAACTTCCATTTCTAGGAGGGGTTGGCAGTGGGCAATGTTTGGTACTCTTCTGCAAACAGATTATACTTAATATTGACTAAAAAATTATTAGGATTTTATGCCAATAACTTGTAAATTTAGTGTTTGTAAGTAAATAATTTCTGTTAATGCTCTACTCTGAAAACTCTGTTAACATGATTATATATTTTTTATCACCGTACTTTTTTCGTCATCCTTTTTTTTTTTTTTTTTT